TTTTTTTTTTTTTTTTTATCTGTATTTATTCAAATGTATTATAAATGTAATCCGAGTATAATAGAATTGTTTAAGAAAAGTATTTATTTTGCCGACAAGGAGATTAAATATTATGGCAAGCAGTGTGTCTGTAGTAAAGATAACTCTAGGGGGGAATCTTACTCATTCCTGGCAATTGCTCAGCCTTTGGGATGCTATAGGACTGTATGCACTTTGTACGAGCCTCTGATTATTCTCTTGTAGGGATCCGCTAGTTGTACCAAGTTCTGGTAAAAAAAAGAAAATTTGATCCTTTAATTCACTAAAGGGAGACTAGTTTGGAGAAGGCAGGAGAAGTGAACAATCTAGGAAAACATAGCTGAACTGGAAAGTGATCTGAATTGGAGAATTCACTTGTTCTGCCTTCTCCAAACTCTTCCCCCCCCAAAAAAATACAAAAATCCGCTCTGTCGATCAACGAAATTCGGTGAGTTAGTATTGCTAACGAATGATTATCGAAATCAACATTGGTCTGTGCATTATGGGGTTGTCCCTGCATTATGGGGTATTCGAGTGGAAATCGAACGGGGGTTCGATGATGACACGAAAAAAATCTAACGATAATTGTTAGCTGACATTGACAGCTTTTGTGCTGAACTTAAAGAAGGTTTTACAGCATTGTCAAACAACACAGTGGCTCAAAATATAATGCAAGGACGGTGACATTATTTAGTAATATTAACATATGTCGTGTGTTGTATATTCTCACAAACAGCCTGTAACATTCAAGTGACAATAAACTCAGGAGTTGAATCTTAAAAATGCATTCAAGTACCTTAACTATTAATAAAAATGTATCTTATTTGTGTATAGCTAGGCTGTAGATCCTCAAATCATCTCTGAATTCATGCTGACACCCTCCTTCCTTCTGGAGGGTGGCTACTTTTGTTCCCCATGGTCCCTGTGTGTGTTGTAAAGTAGACACCGGTCCAAGCTCCCCCCTGTGATGGACTACAATTTCATGTTTACGTCCCTAATTTGTATTGCGATTGTAGTCCATCACAGAAGCAAGCTTGGAGTAGTGGGCACTTATCAGCACACACAGGGACCATGGGGAACAAAAATAGCCACGCTCCAGAAGGAAGGACAGTGTCAGCACCAATTCAGAGATGATTTGAGGATCTACAGCCAAGTGATACACAAATACGATACATTTATGTTAATGGTTAAGGTACTTGAATGCATTTTTAAGATTTAACTCCTGAGTTGAGTCACTGCAAGGGCCCATTCACACTATAGCAATGTGCTAAGTGCACATTACTGTGCGTTTTGCGCCCACTACTGCATAGCAGACTTAGCGTGCAGTACCGTGCACTCCAACACACATGCTGACGGCCATTCACTGCACCACAGTGCAACAAGCAGTACCACAATAACTTGTATTGTGGTGAAAAAAAGTAGTGCAAGCCTAAATTGCATTGCAAATGTTCTAAAAGACCTAACATGTTAGGCCCCATTCACACCTGTGAATGGGGCAGATCACTTGGTTATCACGAATTCCTCCGCAAGAATCATGTGATCTCCTGAGGGCGGGAGGCACTGTGCGCGGCTGTTTGCAGGCTGTTCCCAAGTGATCGCACAGCCTGCCATTACTTTAAGATGATTGCACCTGTGTCCAGGAGAGGTCATCCATGGATAATCACAGGCTTTGGAAATACTTGCAAGCAGCCTGCGAAAAGCTGGGGGTGATGGCAGCTCTCATTGGATTATACCTCGCCTCCCACACGCAGAAGATCCCATGGGTGTCAGGGAGGAATGTGTGAGACTCATACAATTGGCCCTCAACAAGTGTGAATGGGGCCTTATCTGCCTGTCCTTCTTTTTTTTTTTTTTTTAAGTATTCAATAAGAATGTGTACATCAAGCTTTTAATGGCATAGGAATGTGTGCATCTGTGCTACAAATAAGCAAAAAGTATCTCCTCTCCTCTCAATTTGTTTTGGCACAGTAATACGAGCACACAGCAAATTATCCTATCGGCTGTCCTGAAGTGTCCTATGTTGTCTGATTTGTGTGTGGGAAGATGCTCTCTGACACTTTAACATTTTTATTTTACCTTTTTTACTGTTTCCTTTGTATACGTTGTGTGAAATTTCGTTGCTGCAAGGCATTTTCTAGAGTGCTCTTTGTCTGCGTATGTGTGACTAGGAGCAATTAAATGTACTTAATTGTAAACCCACCCAGGAATTTTACAACACTTTTAACTGACAGTCTGTAATATTTAATGCAACACCCATTATTGTACCAGTTGTCTGGAATGGCTGTAAACAGTTTCCTTGCTGTACTGAAAAGTCACATACAATGTATGATTTTTAAATGCAGCAGAGCAATTAAGATGAGTGGGTGCAGAAGTTGCAGCAGCCAATCAGATTAAAGCTTAGCTAGCCAATTTTTAAGTTTGTGAGGGTGTAATGTAACCATGTATTGAGTTGGCTGTCAATCGAGGGTTAATATCATGCATATAAGAGTTTATCAATGCTTTTAAATGGTATGGCTCACTGTAGTTTAGCATTTTTTTTTTTATGAAGTCAGATGGCTTCTTGGCTCCAATTTAATGAATTCAGTTATGTCTCTGATTAGAGGTAACAGAATGTATAACCTTTCTTCATCTAGTTGTACTGTTTGGAATTGCACATTCTCAAGAGCCGGAGTTCAGCCATGGATGTGCAGAAGGCAGCTGCTACCCAGCAACCGGTGATCTGCTAAATGGACGGTCTCAGCAACTTAGTGCATCTTCTACATGTGGTCTCCAGAAACCTGAGTCATTCTGTATTGTTAGCCATCTCCAGGTAAAACCTTCTTTTTCTGGTCCACTTAACTTTTGCTCCAATCACTTCCCACACACTTTGTGAGGATTTTTTCCCATGAAATATGAGCAAGGGAGCATGGACACACTCAACTCCTAAGGGGGATCTGCAAATCTTCCCAGGCAGGGATGAAGCTCTCCCCCTCAGCATTCCCCATTAAACAGAAAACATCTGGCAGAGGAGGCTGGGTGTAATGCGAATATTCACACACATATGCATTGTTTGAACAGTTGCATCTGTATAGTGTTTCCTGTCCCTGTTTATTCTGCTTTCAGATCTTGGTTTTCTGGATTAACTCTATGTGCTCTCCACACAGACACATAATAGCATCTGCTGTCCTCTCCACTCCTATAAACGCTATACAAGAACATGTTTTCTTTAACTTTGTTTGACCTTTACATTTTAAACGAATTAACATGCTCATTTTATCTAAAACAGTGTTTTTTGTTTTGAGTGGAGGGTAATTCTATTCAGAGTAAAAAGATGCAAAGTATTTGATTAGTCCTCCAGAAGTGCGACCAAATGGCATCATGCAGCTGTAGCCAGTCCCAGAAGACAACAACAATTAAGCATCATGTAGCCTAGGCAATGTGCTTGATGTTCAATACTGGGCACATCACTATAATGCATTAGTACATCCACAATGGCCCTCATTAACCTTTGTGGTGAATATTGGTGGTAATAAACATTTATTATGGTTCAGTGCTGCTACATTGAGTGCATCTAGTGAGGTCCATTCATTAGTCAGCATTCACCATAGAAGCAAATTATTTCTTGCTAAAACATGTGTGAATGCTGTTGACATAAAGTGTACCTACTGTACAACTGGGACACAGATAAAAATAAAAATCTGGCAGGGCTTTTAGCCTTCCCCTACTTTATTTAAAGAGACACTAAACTCAGGGCTTAAATCTTAAAAATACATTCAAGTACCTTTTAATTATTAACAAAACTGAACATTGTTTGTGCATCAGTCAGTTGAAGATCCTCAAGTCATCTCTGAATTGGTGCTGACACTGTTCTTCCTTCTGGAGGGTGGCTACTTTTTGTTGCCCATGGTCCAGGAGTGTGTTGTAAAGTAGCCACCACTTGAAGCTCACTCCTGTGATAGACTATAATATCAATTAGTAAACTAAACATGAGACTGTAGTCCATCACAGGAGCGAGCTTGGAGCAGTGACTACTTTACAACACACACAGGGACCATGGGGAACAAAAGTAGCCACCCTCCAGAAGGAAGGACAGTGTCGGCACCAATTCAGAGATGAGGATCTACAGCTGACGCACAAATAAGCTACTATTTTGTTAATAGGCAAGATACTTGATATTTTTTTTCTGTATTTTTGTTCTCCTCATCTCTTGTATGGTAAAACCTTGTTGTCAATGGTGATCAATCGATGGTAAATGAGGAGGACAAATTTCACTAATGTCCTGGATATCAGTAAAGACTCAACAAGGGATCTAGCCCTTACACACTCATATCCAAAACTAGCAGAACATGTTTTAAATGGACCTTTTTAGCAGGAATCTGACAGCATCTGAGAAGCTGTTCTTCTCCATTTGTGTATGGGTTCTTGTCTCCCATTGCTTAATGCTTTAAAACAGTTGGAACAGTTAAAACTGATCTATTATCTGTTGCAAGAGACTTTGGGCTCCGCAACATTGGAAAAGTGCCCATAGAGCCCATCCATTATTATATACTTTCATGTCTTCCAAACTGATATAAGTGACCTTCTTACCAAGATTCTGTACATGGTCCTCTGTTTTGAAGCATTTCCAAAGCTCTTTGTTTTTTAAATGGATGTAGTGTAGAATTAGGACAACTTCCTTTTTTCTTGTGATGTGTTACAGCTAATGCCCTGAAGGAAATGTTGGTGTAATTCTACTGCTTGATGTAGCAACTTAAATGGTTTCTTCTATTTTAAAACCTATATAAAGTTAAACACTCAATTCGATTTTGGAAATAAAAGTCTTGTAATCTTTTTAAGGGTGTATTGCTTACAAGAAAAAAAGTGACTTCCCCTAGACTTTTGGTCTGATGCTGACTGGATATATCTACTTACTTACTTACTAGAACTATGATGTGAGTGAAAAGCACTCACCTCAGAGTTCTCCTTTAATGAGGGAATCAACTGAAGTTCCAAATTGGAATATGTTGACCTCTTAATTTGCTTACATCTCTAATATGCATGCCCAAGATCACTTTGTGTGCCTGTTTATATATACACACTTGTTCCCTTAGTTTAGTGAATGTGATGAGCCTCTGCTAACTTCCATCATCCAATTATGTGCAAGCATGATTATTTGATGAAACATGATTGGCTATTCTTTGCTTAGTGAATGTGTAAAAATTCAGTATGCAAAGTGGAAATTCCCTTGCAAACTGAACATTCCCTTGCAAAGTGATCAGTCTATTTGCCTTTAGTAAATCAACCCCAATGTTTACAATACAATATGACTGCTTGTATAAAGTTTTATAACTTTGCAAACAAATCATTTAGGAAAACATATAATTAAACTGAAATGCTGTTTCAAGGTCTTGACCTTAAAACTTATTAATGTGAAATCTGCTTCTGAATCTTGTTAATAAGGTTAATCCTGTGAGCTGGAGTAGAAGGGCAGCTGCACACCAAGTATCAGCAATATGAGATACCCACTCATCAGAAGTATGAGAATTTCTTGCACTATAAAGCAATATAGATAATTATGTTTTTCATGCTAACATCTGCTTTCATCAGTATAAACACACATAACAGAATGTGTTATCAAGTACTTGACCATTTCCAAAAGGACAAGGCAGTTTTTGCCATGCTGATTTAGTTTTCTGTTTGGTGAATCTCGCATATTCCTTCTATATATATTGTTACCTGTGTTTTGGGTTTTTTTTTTAATAATTTTTTCTGTTGAGAGTGGAAGTACGCAACATTTTCAGCATATACTGTACATCTGATGCATGGAGGTGTTCCACAGTATTGACAAATGATCTATCATTGTATGCATCTATCAGCAATGTGAAAACCAGTGTTTATCTTTTCCAGGATGAAAAGAAATGTTTTGCATGTGACTCACGAAAACTATACAACATTGATGATAATACGGATAGTCATCGTATTGAAAATGTAGTCACCACTTTTGATCCAAACCGTCTTAATTTGTGGTGGCAGTCAGAAAATGGTAAGTCTTGATTTTTTTTTTTTAGTTCAGTTTTATTTTCAATCTCCAAGTCATAGTTCTAATTTCTTTGCCTAAGATCCAATCACCGATTTTGTATCACTTTTATTTGTTTCTACCTTCATTCACTGCATGTAAACTTAAACTACTGGGTCCTGTATTGAATTGTAAAATGGAAGCAAATATTTACATTGACACATGTACCCTGTCTCATTCTATATAAATAAAATCGTCAAACGATTTTCGAAAATGAAAGATGGAGTATATCCCTACTATAATAATTTACTAAGTTGCTGTTGTGATGTTTGGTGCAATGTAGTATGTAATGACAGAAAAAACAAAGTTACTTTATTTTTTTTCTCTATGGAGGCTGCTCTCAGCCGGTAGGTCTTAAAAGGCATAAATCAGACTCTAATATGCTTTTTTTTGTCTTTCTTATGAAGGTGTGGAAAATGTCACAATCCAGCTGGATCTTGAAGCAGAATTCCATTTCACTCATCTCATCATGACCTTTAAGGTTAGGAATCCATGACTTCCCCTAGCAAACACAATTGCTACCAGTGTGTAATTAGGTTATAGAAGGGTCCATTGTTAGGGATACTGTATATACTACACTGAGAGTTTTCAAGCTACAATGAAGAAATGGTTTCAAAACGGATAACTGATTATTTTTTTTATTTTTTTAACCTACCCAGTAAAGGATGCATGATATTTAATTGTATATATGCTTTGACTTCGGACAATTGTTTATATAAGCATTCTTTGTTTATGGATACAGAAACTTTTGCATACAAACTGTCTTTTGTCTGGCTTCCAAACAGATGTCTGTAATTAACATATGGCTTGTAGTGTACACATTGTGCTATATTATAGGCACAGTATTGTTTAGCAAAGCCCTTGCATTTTTGGCAGCCACTTATGTTGGACTTTGTTTTGCCAGGAGCATTAATATATGTGGTCAAACTATGCACATTTAAACACTTAACATAAACATCTGCTTGTAAAACCTAATAGAAAATGTCTTGCTTTCTATAGACCTTCCGGCCAGCTGCAATGGTAATTGAAAGATCAGCAGACTTTGGTAAAACATGGAAAATGTACAGATATTTTGCATATGATTGTGATTCGTCATTTCCTGGAGTCTCTGTTGGACCAATGAAAAAAGTTGACGATGTCATTTGTGACTCTCGATACTCTGACATTGAACCTTCCACAGAGGGAGAGGTATTTTTTTTTTTGTTTTTACTATAATATGGTTTCTCATTGACATAAACTCAATCTTTCATTATTTTTCTCTTGTCTACTTGTGTCACAGGTTATATATCGTGTCTTAGATCCAGCTTTTCGTATTGATGATCCATATAGTCCTAGGATTAAAAGTAAGCCAAATGTTTTGTTTGTTTTCCTGTAAAACCAGATTACTATTGGCCAAATAATATGAATTCCTTGATCTGGTGTTTATGAACATTTTTACTGGTTCTCAACTGTTCTCTACAAAAGGTAGAGAGATAAACTGGCAACACATTTGAAATTTAGTGAAAAGGCCAGAAACCAAAATGTGTGTGTTCTTGTCTGAAAAGCTGTCACTAACACATTTATTAAAAGAGGAATTTCCTTTTTTAAATCTTGGTTGGATAACCTATGGCAATAGTATAGTAAGGAATTAATTGAAGTTGCTTGGGTTCTGTTATTCTTGTTTTGCGATGTGCAGTCCAACTTTATTACTTACTTTTTTCTTTTCATATAACTCTGAATATAAAATAACTTACAAAATATATCCTACCCGAAATAAAAATATTGAAGACTGAAGGTTTTGATTGTCGAGTCTGATAGGTTTTTTTCTGTGCTCCATATATTTTATCTGTTATTCTGTGGAGGAATGCTTTAGGGAGCTTCATACAGTCTCAAATGTCTGATAAGAAATTTTGAAAGTTCGTAAATGAATATTAGATGCACACTTTATAAACATATTGGCTCCACTTATTAATACTTCAGGAAAGAGAAATTGTAGGGTGCCAATGAAAGGAATAATTTTTGTAATCAAGGCAGCAAATTGAATATAATAGGTAATACCCTCCCTCCCCCCTTGAAACTGATGATGAGCGAGTGACATATTTGTTAATTACTGTCTTTAATAAAAGACAGTGTTTGTTCCATGCTAGCCATAGATAACCATAGGAAAGTAAAAATTTAGGTGATGCCTTTCGTTGAGTAATCGAATATATCTCAGGAAGCAAGCTTTCAAAAACATTAAGAGCCCGTTCACATGTATAGTGGTGAAAGTAAAAAAAAATGTAAACCATGCAGGCTCCGCGTTTATTAGCGGATGAGCTAGTGTGAACGGTCCCCGTGTTTAAAACAAAAAAACCACCAAAACGTATTCAGTTTGTTGGGAAAGGTATCACACATTTTTACTTTCCTATTCCCTTTGATATTTGTTCCCTCTTATCTATTGCTTTTCCCTACAACTTGTGCTCCACTATAATTTTGGCCAAGTCTATAAGAAAAGTAATGACCGGTTCAGAGGCTTGATGACCTTAATAATGGGAATATGTCTTGTGGCTTAAAACAAAGAGTGGTTGGCTTATATATTCCTGTGCTCATTTTAAGAGATTCTAACATTTTATTATAAAATACGTTCATATGTTGTTAACATTGCCTTTGTTTTACCTGATACATTTGTATTTATTTTGTCCTGCTAATTAACTTACTTTCATTTTTACTTTCCTATTTTTCAAGGCTTGTTAAGAATTACAAACTTAAGAATAAAGTTTCTAAGGCTCCACACCTTAGGTGATAACCTTTTGGATTCACGAGTGGAAATAAAAGAGAAATACTACTATGCCATTTATGATATGATTGTTCGTGGTAACTGTTTCTGCTATGGACATGCTAGTGAATGCGCACCTGTAAATGGATATTCCGACAATGTGGAAGGAATGGTAATTATAGCCTACAGTTTGCTCTTATCTTATCACTATGACATTGAACCTGTCCTAATATTACTTATGTCTAGGGTAAGCTAGCATAAAGATATTTCTTAATGTGGAACTACAAAACCTTTTTATTAGTTCCAGGGCTAGAACTAAGTTAAAGGTAATAGCAGGGTCCTTCTATTGCCTGCTCTAAGCCAGGACATTAGTTTTTGAACTTGTAAGAGTGATAAGTTCACTTTCGGGACAACTTCCAGTTTAGGGTATGTGATTTTTTTTTTTACTAAGTTACTCATTATTCAAAATACAGGCTACAAAAAAACATTTTGGACATAGAAAAGCCCATGGAGTATCCTGCAGTCACAGCATGGAGCACTGCTGAAAAAAATGCTTTTCTTTCTACATCAAGGAAACTCTAAGATTCAAGCATTTTGGATACAAATCTAGAATGAGGGTAAAATGCTGTCGAGGAAAATGGACTTTGCATAGACTGTGGCAAAGTCAGTATTTTTTTTTTAACTACATTGTGTGCTCTACCAAACCATTGGAAGTTTACAAGAGTTTGCATCATAAAAGTGGAAAGCTTCTCTTTGTGGAGGGCTAGTCACAGACCTAGAGTTTGCTAGAATGTGAGAGGTATGTGTCAGGAACCCCAAATAATTGAATGTTCACAAGAGACCCTAATATTTCCTTTACTCCTGAATGCCAACTGACCTAACATGTTAAAGGGATGTTGTAAGCTTAACGGTGTCCATAGACATTATTAGGGAGTCAAATGTTTGGCCACACTCAGATGGCACCTGGGCTTCTGCATCTTCCAGCAGCTCCATAAAAAATGCCAGGTATACTATTTATATTCATGCTATTGTGAAGGAAAGAGAATCCCACTTGCAGACTCATCGGAAGGAAGCTCATCAAGCAGAGAACAAAAATAGAAATGACCATTCAGCCAAATATTTCTGGTGATGCCCATATAATTGAGATTGCTGCTTCATCCAGGCAAAATGAATGAGAATGTTTATGAATGTGGGAAAAACATATCACTGTACTTAGACTTGAATAACCCTGGACTCCTATTTGTAAAGTTAGCATGACTCTTCACTTTACAAGATTCAATCAAGGATATCTAAATTACGCTTGCCTGTACTGGATGACGCTTCTGTTGCTGTATAAAAGCCAGATGCTTTGGTATAGGTTTAAAATGTCAATAAGGTGTAAAAGTAAGCATGCCTATAACTTTTTAATTTTTCTTATAGGTTAAAACATGGAAGTTGCAAATGGTCATATTTGTAGTAAAATATAGAATGATCTATGGACAGCTTGGATGTAGAAAAGTACTTATTTTTAACCTAGCATTGTTCTTGCATTCTAGGTACATGGACGCTGTGTTTGTAGACATCACACAAAAGGTTTAAACTGTGAACAGTGTATGGACTTTTATCACGACTTGCCTTGGAGACCAGCAGAAGGTCGTAGCAGTAATGCTTGTAAAAGTGAGTTCACAGATAATACATTTTCATTTTTTTAGGGTGGCAGCTAGTAACTTTTTACACTGACACCAGTTTTTATTTCTTATAATTGAATCCCTTTTGACTAACAATAGACTGAAATGGCATTTTACACAGTAGGATTTTATCATCATCAATTTGCTTTGGCCATTTTTTGCCACATTTATATACATTTTTATAAATTTGTCTGTCCTTAAACATTTTGCTCATTCAACTAAATCTTTCTGCAGAATGCAACTGTAATGAACACTCTACACAATGTCACTTTGACATGGCTGTATACATGTCAACTGGGAATACAAGTGGTGGAGTGTGTGATGATTGCCAGCATAACACAATGGGACGGAACTGTGAGCAGTGCAAGCCATTCTTCTATCAGCATCCAGACAAAGACATACGTGACCCAAACATCTGTCATCGTAAGTATGATGCTTTAAAAGAAAAACTCCTTTTGGTCGGGTTTTCTGGCAGCCCTCCATCTTGTTACTCACAACAGCTATTGTTTGTCTTCTTTGGTTGACATCTTGGACGAGAGGTGTTACATGGCTTTATAAGGATCTGTTCTAAGAACTTTGCAGCTTTCCTAGAGCTCTTATTTTTTTTGTTAATGAAAATTATTATGTCAAAGAATAGTAATCTGTCTGTAAATGTAAACGTTTTTCAATAGTTTAATTTGCAATATACATGCAATGTAACATGATCTAGAAATACATAGCCATAACTCTAGAAATAGCTTTCGGTCTAAAAGCTATTATTACTAATGGCAACATTTTTTTTCCAGCTTGTAATTGTGACCCAGCTGGATCCCAAAATGATGGCATCTGTGACCGTTATTCTGATTTCTCAGTGGGTCTTATTGCTGGCCAATGTCGATGCAAGGCAAATATTGAGGGAGAACGCTGTGATCAGTGCAAAGAAGGATACTATAACTTGAATGCAGAAGATCCAGATGGATGCCAGCGTAAGAAATCTTTTAATATGTGCCTCACTTGAATGATATTGTCTAGAACGATTGACAAATGTTTGTATTTTCTTTCTCATAGCTTGTGGATGCAATCCCCTTGGAACTATTCCTGGTGGCAATTCATGTGACTCGGTAGAAGGAAACTGTTATTGCAAGCGTTTCGTAATGGGAAAGCAATGCAACCAGTGCATGGTAGTAAAAATATTATGAATGCTTTTTTTTTTTTTTTGTTCTTTTTGATTCCAATCATTTTGTCATAAATAAGATAAGGACCAATGGAACAAACCCAACATTTACTGCAATAAATCCTCTTGTGTGATACATGTGTATATCATAACCTGTCCACTCAAACAATAACAGCACACACTGTAAAAACGTTTTAGACTACACTATTCTGGATTAGAAGTATCCAACTCTCTCCAATAAGTACAGCTTTTACAAATCTAAGTAAAAATTATTTAAATTTCAAATAAGTTAGTTCCACGAGAAGAAAATACCTAATGCACTCTAGTCAGAAATGGAAAAACTGTTATTTAAAGCTATAGTACAGCTAGACAAATAAAATGTAAAGTTCAAAGCTCCAACATTAGAGGGCAATAAACTTTCTCCATATGTTCTCTGTATATTTATATCGTATGAGCTAAAATGCCAAATTATATGTACACATAAATTATATACATTAACCTAATTACTGGTGTCTGACCTGTAATATTCAACACTTAAGTGATGGGCATATGGTAGCTGCCACTACTGAGCAGTACCTTTTTTATTAAAGGTAGAAACCATTAAGAAGCATTTGCGAAACACACCACTCTCAAAAAATATGATTACATGTGATTTATATTATTGCAAATAGATCTTGTTTAACTATCTGGATCAATTAATTTTTTTTGAGGATGCTAAATTTTGTGCAGCAACTCTTTGATGATAACTTGCCGTGTAAAGCGCGGAGGTGATCAGCATCAGCACTTTACTGTTGGTAGCAAAAGTTTATGTTTTTGGATTAGCCTGTAATCCGTATTTTAGAATTGTTTCTAAAGGTGCCAGCTCCAAGCCTGTCATTCCTATCTTGACTTTACTACCTAGTAAATCACCAGCTTGTGTACAAGGGAGTGTGAAAAGTTAAAACTGTTCTCCTACACAATTGTTCCATGGAGATTTACTAGACTCTAAAGCCAGTTTCCGGATGACAGTCAGGAAGCTTGCCCTTTAAAAAAAAAACAGTCGCAGCAGGTCCCATATTGTATGCACACAGGTTCCCTTGCAGTAGTGATTTAACTCGCACAAAAATCTGTGTGGTTTCTCTTACTGTAGATAGATAATTGTTATTCCAATGCTTTGTATGCCTTACTAAAAACACATTGGTCCATGTCTAATGCTGAATGTTTAGGAATGTGTGACTATTCTCACTACAACCAGCCTTTTAAATTTTTTTAAACAGCCTGGATTCTGGGGTTTGAGCAATGACCTGGATGGATGTCGACCTTGTGACTGTGACCGTGGTGGATCATTTGATAACACGTAAGCCACTTTTCCCCTTTACTATCAAATAATATTATGGATGTGGAAGTGCCTATTAATGCCCACAACACCCTCAAACGCTATTTCTGCCTGTTGTTGTTGTTGTTTGTTTGTTTGTGTGTTTTTTTTTTTTTTTTAATTATTACATTTTTAGGAAAGAGAAACATTTTATAGTACTATAGATTTCTCTTTTGGCGTTGAAGATAATTCTTTAAAATATAGATTTTGCCATAGTATGATAGATTCCAGATGCTAAAACCAACCTGCTTTTAATTGTGTAGTGTTTTCTATAGTACTTGCTTTATGAAACTACTGTTAAGTGTATTTGTCTTGCTTTATTCACCTTGCAGCTGTTCACCTGAGTCAGGCCAATGCCGCTGCAGACCACACATGATTGGTCGCCAGTGCAATGAAGTGGAGTCTGGCTTTTATTTCATCTCTTTAGACCATTACATCTATGAAGCAGAGGATGCAGATTTTGGCCCTGTAAGTAAAGTACTTTCCAGCATCCTGTTAATTTCCAACTATTACTATTTACCTTTTTTTTTTTTTTCATTTAATCGATAGGGTGTGAGAACTGTTGAACGCCAGCATCCTCAGGATCGCACCCCATCCTGGACAGGACCTGGGTTTGCCCATGTTCCAGAAGGAGGATACTTGGAGTTTCACATTAAACATATCCCAGTCTCAATGGAGTATGATCTTTTAATTCGCTATGAACCACAGGTTTGTCAATCAATCAATTTGAAAAAGGGTATGAATTGTATGTTAATGAGGAGGTGGCAATCTGCAATATAATTTAATAAGACCCTTATGATCTATGTAGTGTTGCTGTTATTGTATTTTTAAGTGCAACTGAAGCCAAAACCTCTTATTTTTAGTTTTGGATAGAGTGGAGAGGGATTAAAACCACTGTCAGGGTCTTATCCATATGTTGGAGAACACAAACAATATCAGCTTGAGATACAAGTCAGAATGAATAGTGTAAGGTTCATCAAGACTGGTTGTACTGTTACTGTATATAGCATGTAGGATAATATGAACAATAATGATCTCAACAATTGAAAAGTACACATAGATGTGTCATTACACTTTTCTGCTTGCAAATAGTGATGATCCTCTGTAATGTTTAATAATTGTATTTTTTTTTTAATGTCTGTTTCTTTTGTCCTCCTCAGCTCCCAGAACAATGGGAAGAAGCAGTGATAACAGTTATTCGTCCCGGGAAAATTCCCACAAGTAGTAGATGTGGTAATACCATCCCAAGTGATGACAATCAGAATGTAGCATTGCCTCCAGGATCCCGGTAATTGTACAAATTATGCATTATAAGGAATTCTTAAAGAACTCCAGGATTTAAAAAACGTAACCCTTGCAGTGGGGCTACCTCTGCACTGCAGGGGTTAACTGCTCTTGTTTCCCTTGGGGTGAAAATAAACAAGATGTACTCGCCCAATCCTCAGTCCTGCAGCAGTGACCTGTTACCTCCTCTCCTTGCGCTCTGGCTGTGGTGTGTCCCTTGGCATCTTCATGTGTAATAGACCTGTATTAGATATGATGATGTCACGGGTCCTTAGATTGCCGGAGCCTGGGGACAAGTCTAGCAGAAAAGGCAGGATGGAGATTAGGTGAGTGTCTTTGTTTATTTTCATCGCTAGACAAAACAAGCATTTAACCCCTCACCAAGGGTTAACATTCCAAAATTCTGGAGTTCTGCTTTAAGATCTAGAGAATATTTGCAGTTTTAACTTGGTCACTGTGTTTGAACCTATTTATACCAAAAAAGCTTAATATCCGGTGTGAAAAGTTTTGTGATTTTTAGATCATGTTGATGATGATGATAATGCAGTGGCACATGTGCCTACAATACCACTAGTTGAGTTTTTTGTTATTTCTTAAATGTTGTTTTTTAACTGCGGTGCACAGAAATTGTTCAAAATTACTTATTTTTTCAGTATACATCACAAAATCCTGAAAAGCTAGCATATTAATGTATTTTTTAAAAGCATGATTCGAGGGTTATTATTGTGTGTTAAAGTGATACACAATCAGGACAATCTTTAAATCATGTTGTGTATTGCACTTCCAGGTATATAGTTCTTCCTCGTCCTATCTGCTTTGAGAAAGGTCTGAATTACACCATACGACTGGAGTTGCCACGATATTCAGTTAACTCTAATGTAGAAAATCCTTACACATTAATTGATTCTGTAAGTAAATAGTCCATCCCATTACTTTATCAAACACTGTATAAATGCTCTAAAATGAGTCATTGGAAAGACCAGTGCAGGGGCAGACCACCATGCATTCCACTATATTGAGTTATACTGCAGTAAAAGAGGATTAATCTATCCTGAGGCTCTCGTGTTACTTGCAGAGGTTTATATTATTATTATTTTTTAAACATTTTAGTAGCTTTAAAACTGAGACAAAATGATGTGATCCATTTGTGAAGTTTGTTACATATGGCTTTTGAAAGACTACATCTATGTTCCCCTTACCAAGAGACCAATGGATACAAAAATCCAATTTAATTTATTTAGTCTGTTTAAAAAACAAACCAACATTTAATTTACATATTGACATTGCTATGTCTCACAGGTAACATTGAGAGTGTTTTATGATTTGAGCGACATTACGTGTGTGATATGACCATGCGACCATATCATTTTCTCAAATGGTCATATTAGCAGCAATTAACTGACATTGCTAACTTACAGCTTTACATCTCTTAGGCCTCAGTCACACTAGCAGTGACATGCATGCCCTTTATATGCATTCATAGGACATTTCTAACCGTATGTGAATGCATGTAATGATTGTAAATGTAATAATTCACACTGAGCACTTCGCTGTGTTTAGGAAAAAAAGAATGCTGCATGTCCAGGGACAGATTAGATACTCTTAACGCATTTAAACACATGTAAATTCACTTAGATTTGAACACGAGAACTTGATCTGGGAAGCATAACATTTGTATATACTTCCACTGGCGGAACTACCACCGTAGCGACTGTTGCGGGTGGGGGGCCAGTGGGTGGGGCCGGTTCCCCGCTGCTCTGCCCCGCTTGTATGAGCTGAGGCAGCGGGGATCAGAAAAAAAATGACTCTCCTCCCTGCCTGCTGCTCGATAATCGTGATCGATCGGCAGGCGGGAAGGAGAGCGGAGCCGCTGTCCTCCTGTCAGTTTCAGGACGGCAGCGGCTGTGTACGTGGCCGAGCGGAGGATCGGTAAGTATCATTAATATTTACCAATCCTCCGTGTGCAGCACAAACACTGGAGTAATCGTCTGATCACTCCAGTGTTTGTAAATAACTGGGGACACATAGTACTATGTGTCACCAGTTATGAATGAACAGGAGGTGATTTACCTCACCTCCTGTTCATTCATGAATTTCTCAATGGGGAGAAGCAGTCAGTACAGACCCCTTATATTTCCCCGAAGCTCCCCAACAGTAAAATAATAATAATGAAAAAATAAATTAATGTGTAACTAAATTTTTAAAAAAGCACAACTCCA